CAGTTACTTCCATGATGCATGAAACAGTGATAAGGAGGAAAGGTAATTGAAGTTTTTCCTTGTACATTTAAACATCATTGATGAACAAATATTATCTTCAGAATATACTTCATTGACTTGAATTCTCACCAAGGCACAAATTAGATCTATCTAAGAGAAGAAAGAAAAGTTGGAAGTACTGGATCTCATAAAATGTGCTGTGTATATGTACAACATTTTCCTGAGCCCAGCACTGTATCAGTTTGGGGACATATACAGTAATATGAAGTTTTTGTGGTCTTAATTATTGCATCATGAAAGGATTCTTTGGCTCAGATCCGGGAGGCCCCAAAACAGTCCATCTTCACTGGAGGATTTACAGCAGTGCCTAGTAGCAAATTTAAATTCATTCATATAGGATTTGGTCCATATAGCCAAGTAGATCCTTCTAATGGAGCCACATTGTTAAATGTGCAAATTAACAACCTGATGCTGAGTCTAGAAATAGAATAGGTAAGAAAATTAATTCTGTAATATATCCACATGCTCACTTCATCTACACAATTGTTGAATGCTGACCGTATTTAGTTAACGATGTGGAAAAATTGCCTTGAGAACTAGAGATCTAATTTTTCTTTTGTCTTGTGGTAAGCCCCCAGTTCTTTAGTATGAAATATATGGGATTCATTTCTTTCTTTTTTCTTTTTTTCAGGTGTTAGTTGTCTCGTCAGAAGGGGGACCCAAAATACTGTAGTTCCCTAGGTATTTGCTCACCATTCTCTGATGCACAAAAGGAAAGGGAGTGAGGGAGAGGGAGATGGAAAGGGAAAAGGAGAGAGATTAGTTCATTATTTAGATCCTTGGGAATCCCTTAGTGGTTTATTTGTTGTGCAGAGCCAGGAAACCAATCCATTCAAAACTTTCTCCTTGCTGGCAGATTTTTCAAAGCTGACGTTTCTCTGCTGACTGTGCACGTCCTCTTATCATGTGTTTGGTTTTTCAATATCTAGCCATTTCACAAAGAAAAGGACATTTATTTTCAATTAATAAACCACCCTGCAGTTACCCTTTGTTCATAGCCATGGAAATGCTTCTGTGTGTGCAGACGACAGCTTACACATTAAACAACTCTTTCTAACAGCTTCCCAAGCTGTCCCAGTTCCTGGCTATGTTTTCCAGGTTGCCTTCTTCCTGGCACGTTATGCCTGCTTACTGGCAGATCTGCAGAGAAACACCCACGTGGCCGTGGGCACATCACATTTCATGTTCATTTACAAACTGATAATTAATGTCTTTTATTCACCCTATGCCTTGAGAAGATTTTCATCATTGGTGTCTGTAAATTAGGTGACTTACTTTCAGTAGACCTAATGTCTTCCCCTAGAAAGCATAATTATGCTTTGAAAAAAGCCATTCACTGATTTTAGTGAAATGAGTTGTTATTTTTGAAAACAGTTAGTGCTCTAATTCTCTTGTTATGGCAATCTGTGTTTGGAACTCCAGGACTGTGTGGATGCAGAATGAATTGTAAGATCCTGAGAGCAGCATTGGCTCTTTCTCATGTCTGTATTTTCACATTGAAAACAGATTTGAGAAAATTATGGCCTATGATGTCGATGCGCAGATATAGGTGTAAATAAAGAGATGACCTAGAGAAGCATATTTAAGCTGGGCCGCAGTGATCCAGAGAAAATGTATGTCAGCTGGGCGCAGTGGCTCACGCCTGTAATCCCAGCACTCCACTGAGGTGGGTGGATCATGAGGTCAGGAGTTCGAGACCAGCCTGGTCAAGATGGTGAAACTCTGTCTCTACTAAAAAATACAAAAATTAGTCGGGTGTGGTGGCGGGCGCCTGTAATCCCAGCTACTCAGGAGGCTGAGGCAGGAGAATTGCTTGAACCCAGGGAGGCGGAGTTTTGCAGTGAGCCAAGCCTAGTGCTCACTGCAACTCTAGCTGGCCAACAGAGCAAGACTCGCGTCTTCAAAAAAGAAAAACAAAAAAAAAAGATATATATGTCATTCTCACTATTCCCTCCGCTGCCTTCAGTTTTCCCAATTCGGTTCTAAACTCAGCAAGCCAAAATACAACCATTCTTTCATTTCTATTGTCCTGAGGAAAAGGGTTTAAAGGACCTGACTCAAGATTCAGAACACATATAAAAATCGACGCTGATGCTTTACAAAAATAAACGCAAGCTCTAATCTCTGAATCTCTGCAGTGTGAAATATGTGGATGCTACTTGTTTGAGTTAAATATGCAAATTTTCCTCAAGGCTGTTCACAGTTCCTTTCTCCAAAATACTTTGTAGGAGATGGAGATTTTCCCAGCACAACTGTTCCAACAACATTCTCAACAGAAACAATCCATGATCATTATAGCAAAGTTCACCACAAATACAGAAATGTACAAATTATGAAAATGAAAACTTGCCATATCCAACCATTTGTGAATCACTGATAACATTGTTACTGGCTGTCATTCCAGTTTTATTCTGTAGATGAATGTGACTACCAATCCATCCATCCTTACTATTTATCCTAACTAGCATACTACGCACAGGTTTTTTTAGCTTAATTTATTTCCCTAAGCAATATATACATTTGCCTCATCATTTCGATGACTCTGTAGTATTCCAGTATATTCCTACATCATCATTAACTTAATTATAATTACTACTCATAATTAACTAATTCCCTATAATTAACCAATCCCCAATCAACTGATCTGGATGGTTTCCAACATTAATATATTTTTAATACTTGTTTAAAATATTGAGGATAAGGCTGGACAACACAAGCAGGAATAGAAAAAATTACTTTGTCTGAATCAGAGCCTCAGATTCATTTATAATTTGATGGGATGTTGTCTTAGTCTGTTCTCACGCTGCTAATAAAGACATAACCGAGACTGGGTAATTTATAAAGGCAAAAGGTTTAACTGACTCATGGTTTCACATTACTGGGGAGGCCTCACAGTCATGGCGGAAGGTGAATGGAAAGCAAAGTCATGTCTTACATGGTGGCAGGCAAGAGTGCTATTGCAGAAAAACTCCCATTTATAAAACCATCAGATGTAGGGAGACTCATTCAGGACCATGAGAACAGTATGGGGGAAACTGCCATAATGATTCAATTATTTCCACCTGGCCCTGCCCTTGACACCTGGGGATTATTACAATTCATGGAGAGATTTGGGTGAGGACACAGCCAAACCATATCAGATGTTTATATACTAAAACTTAAATATTATACTAGTTTAAAACTTATGAAGTTCTTCCATACAAGTTGGTAGACTTATTGTATATAAATTAGGGATTATAGACAAACCATATCTATTATCTAGATATTAAGTACCTTTATTAAAATATAGGTATAACATTTATAAATGATATCATAAGGAACAAAGGGGCTAAGTGATACTGTCCCAGTTACACAGTGAATATTTTGGAAAAACAAGCTAGAAATCATAGTCTCAGAGCCTACATCTATGTTCAGACACTCAGAAATCCACTTGAAGGGGTTGAAGTCTATGATTGCCATTAAGATTCATTTTGGGGTCTAGCGATCTATTTTTCAATGTTCTGTATTTGATGTTTTTCAAATTGCAAATGGCAGTTCATACTTTTTAAAAAAATAAATGTACTAATAGAAAATAAAGGTGTAAAGGACAAAACTACACATCCCAGGGCCACCATATATGGTTGGGAAAGTTCTGCACTGCAAAAGGGCGTAACAGTTCATGGGGTTCCTGTCATGGCAGACAGTGAAGATTTTTATATTTATTACAGTAATTTTTTAGTAGATGACAGTATATTATAACAATGTTCCAACAGATAGAAATAAAGTGTCTTGAGTAAGAGGTATCTTTAATTGGCAGCATCTCTGATTACTCTCCAAACCCATGTCCTTTCGTCACCTTCTTATATTGCTGAATCAATAATATCTGACAGAAATTGTCTAAGTCAACTGATGTCTTCAGTGGAGGTGTCCTGTCTCTTATACAACTTATGATGTGGAACTTGAAAGGCCTAATGGGATATAGTAGCTACTGATAGCTCATATTTCAAGCAACCATGGATATAAAATCATCAGAATTTTAATTTTTGCCATGTAATTCAGTGGAACATTTCTGTAATCGATGCTCATATTAATGTTAGAGAAAAGCATTGCCTCATCTTGAAATACTTTCTAAACTTTCAAAGAAAGGTTAAATTATATTCAAGATTTGTGTAGTGTTAGTTTTTTTTTTTGTTATGTACTTTGAAAATGGTTGATCTATTGCTTATATGTGTAATGAGTCTTTGTTTGTTTGTTTGTTGGTTGGTTGGTTGGTTGGTTTTTGATACATGGTCTTGCTCTGTCACCCAGGCTGGAGTGCAGTGGTATGATCTTGGCTCACTGCAACCCCTGCCTCTCAGGCTCAAGCGACTTCCCACCTCAGCCTCTCAAGTAGCTGGGACTACAAGCATGTACACCGCCACACCCGGCTAATTGTTGTATTTTTTTGTACAGATAGGGTTTTGTCATATTGCCCAGGCTGGTCGCGAACTCCTTGGGCTCAAGCAATCAGCCCACCTTAGCCTCCCAAAGAGCTGAAATTACAGGTGTGAGCCATTGTGCCCAGCCTGTGCAAGAGTCTTTATTGGAATAAATTAAATTACATATTTATATGGGGCTTGAAAACATCTTCCCATAACCTTGGTATTTGATCTTTGCAACTGGCAACAATATGAGGCAGGAAGTGTCAGTTTCCCAGTTTCCCTGTAGAGGAAGAAACATTGGTTTAGTGCTGTGGTTTGAATGTCCTCTCCAAAACTCATGTTGAAACTTAATCCCCAATGTGGCAATATTAAGAGGTGGGCCTTTAAGAGGTGATTGGTTATGAGGGCTTGGCCTTCATGGATGGATTAATCCATTCTTGAATTAATGGGTTAATGAATTAATGAGTTATCATGGGAAGGGAACTGGTGACTTATAAGAAGAGGAAGAGAGTCCTGAGTGGGATATGGGAGCACCCTCAGCCCCCTCTCCATGGGATACCCTGTGGGTCTCTTCAGAGTCCCCACCAGCAAGAAGGCTCTTTCTCACCAGATGTGTCTCCCCACCCAACCTTGGATGTCTTAGTCTCCAGAACTGTAAGACATAAATCTTGTTTCTTATAAATAATCCAAATTGAGATATTCTCTTATAAACATTCAAAAACAGAACAAAGACATTTTGAGAGGACGAGTATCGTGCCCAAGGCCCCGTGATCACAAAGATGTAGGACCAGTTGGGTACTCAGTCATAGGGCCCCACAGTGCTTTAGAGGGGAAATAATAAGAAACCACCATTTTCTGACCACCCTAGTTAAATGGGGATTTCCTCTGCTTTGGGTACTATAAAAGATACCAGCACAGCTCATGGGATCAAGGTCCTCTTCTCTGTTAGAGGAGTCCCTTGCTGTGATTCTCTTGGATACATTTTAGAACTTTCTTCCATGTTTCTCAAATGCGGCAGGAACACATTTGCTTCTACTTTCTGCTCTGTCCCCCGATCTCTCACACACACTTGATAGGCTGAATGAGTCTACTAATGATTTTAGTGACTGATATGCAATCTAATAGAACAACAGACTATTAATTAACATCAATAAATAATGTACTTTGGTTCAAGTTTACAGTTACAGCCAGCACTTTACAGTTTACAAAAACGTTTTCCTTCATTAACGTCTAAAAATAATCTCCTGTAGTTGGATTGGGTAGACCTGACTTTAGTTAAAGAAGCCTCATGATTTTAGATTTCTGGAGTGGGGAGAGGGACATATACTTTAGAATAAAACCATTTCAGTAAGGTGTGATGAAATGAAACTCAGGTCATGGTGTTTAGTTAACATCTCAGGAACACCACCACCAACGAAAAGCAAAGCCTTTTTCCTTTTAAATTAAATAATGAACAGTTGGATATTTTTGTTAGGAGCTGGTGGGTTAGGTAACTGCACTGATTTACATTTTAGAATTATAGGCTAAAGACTAATTAACTGGCTAGAGCATATGCAGTGGACCGTGGCAGTCTGCAAAGATTAACAAATTAATTAGTTATTTCCATCCGTTACAATTTTATTCTTTTCTGGGAAATGAGCGGCCTGTTTATTTCAGCCTTTAAAAGTTTCAGAGCAGGGCTGTTCATTCAGCTTTCTGAATGGCTGAATAGAACAATAGGATTGTGTAACAACTGGGACACGTCAGTGCCTTCGTCAGGGGATAATGTAAGCTATAGAAAGCCCTTTTCATCTTTTAGCAAGGGCCCATTATTCCTATGTATCTCTCTTCTCTGCTTTATGAAAAGGTTTGTACAGTAAATAATGACCAACTATGTAGTAGTTCTTTCTTCTTTTGCCAAGCTCTTTTTAGCTTTGGCAGCAATTTTGTTTTCCCTGTCATCATCTAATGTCTATTTATTTTACATTGCTACAAAGCCAGTGAAATTCCCTTATAAATCCCAGGTCATGAAGATGAAGCAGCAATTCGATTCCTTTTATTCAACGTCTCCAGTGTCCTCTGCTTTTTCTAATTAGGTTCAAAGTGGTCAGTGGCTTGAAAAGCCTCTGGGCAGGAATCAAATCTGTTTGAACAACGCATTCCTAAAGGCCATGCATATTAGACCCTTGGATTTAATTAGAGGAGAGGTATCAAAACTCAGATACTCTCTGGATGCATTTAGGATTGTCACCAAAAGGTCCTGTTTCTACACAGGCAATTTAACCAAATTCCTCTCCTCCTTTGGCTCTCCCTCCCCCCTACACATACAATAGGCATTAGGTATTCAGAGCCTGGGGCTATTACTCACTACTGGTTCTCAGAGGCTGCAGTTTTCTTTTGTCAGCGCTGCCACAGCATGAAGGTGAGAACAAGAAGTTCTTAAACTGAAGAGAAAAAGATAAAAGGAAAAGTATGCAGGAGAAAAGAGAGGCTCTTTAACTGCTCTGTCAACTCGATTTCTGTCCTCCGCCCCAAGCATGTTCTGAAGATGGATGGGCACAGGTACAGCTGGTACAAGACAGCAGCTGTGATTTCCATCTGGGTACCATTTAGTAGCAGATAGATTTTTCAGGCTGAAGTCTCTTCCAATTGTTGTGGTTAGAGAGTGAAAGTGAGAGGCCCACTGTGTTTTCTTCCACCTCAGGTGGTATTGTTTCAAACCATTGTTTCTCCCAGGGTTGGCTTGCTATCAAAGAAGAGAATTAGAAGGCAATTATTTGATTGTGGGGTGAGCGAATGTGGGAGTTAACTGATGAGAGGTGGTGGAGCTCAGACACAAACCATCTCATGGAATACATTAGATATTAGATTTATCCAACACGTACTCCTCATATTGTCTGTTTCCCTCCTTCTAAGCTGTAAGACTGTCAGGGGACATGGTGCTCTTCCGGGGAGTAATGTACATGTTTATGTCTGCACAGACATAACATAAACATAAACATAACATAAACATAAACATAAAACAACTGGTTGAACTGTGAAAAATTCAGTACATTAACTAAAGCTCATTTTTGGTTGTGCTAAGAAAGCAGCTTCTCTTTTACCTCTATGACAGAATTGACAAGTGTCTACATGTGATGCCAGGACAACCACCCCAGCCAATGGATTCTTCCCAACAAAAACGTTTTTAAAATATTACATATCTGAAGATATTTTAAGTATGCTACTTGATTAAATTTTTTAAATCTAACTTGCTATTTTTAAAAATTGAACATTTGTTTTTTTAACCAGCTGTATCAGTGTAACATGGGCATGATAGAATTAAATTATTGTTTTGGAGTAAATTTGCTCTATATTTTGTTCTCTATATCTTTTCAACTCGCCTGTCAGGGACATCTATAAGAGTCAGGCTGTTCTCTGCTCTTCAAAGATGTTTTTGAGGGTGAGAGTTGGTGATTTCCCATCAACTAAAAATGCTTTTTGTCAAATAGAGACAGCACCAATGATGTACTCAAGGGCCCAGTTCTTCATGTGATTTGGATTTGAGACCTGAGGTGTTTCACAAGCATTCACAAGCATCAGCAGATCTGATCGAGGGAGAGATTGCAATATCTTTTCTGGCAAACCAAGCTCCTTTTTCTTTGCTAATATGGACATTTTCCAATGTTGACCCAGATTCTTCAGCTTTCCTAATGTATTCAAGGTCAATGTTTCTATCCCTAAGGAAAAACCATTCGTGAGAGCCATGATCAAGTTTGATTTTATTTTGCCCCCTAGTTGACTGCCCTTTTACCTCCCAAAATCCCAAAAATAAAGTAAGAACATGTTGATAAATATGATGAAAGAGTACTTGATTCTTGCATTGAGTTTTAGAAGGAAGAATTCCTGGGCAGGGGGAAGCTAAGAGTGAGGTGGTGATGGTGAATGAGGTTGGGGCATTAGCAGATACATAAACAGAACATCTGGAGCTGTAATCCAGGGTTTTTTAAGAAGTCATGCTAAAAAAAGTAAACATCAACAGGTGCAATTAATTCTAATATATTTTATTTAACTTAATATAGTATATCCAAAATAATATCATTTGAACATGTAATTAATATAAAAGTATTAATGAGATATTTACTCTTCTTTTGTTATACTAAATCTTCAAAATCTTGTGCATTTTTTGCATTTATAGCACATTCCTCAGTAGCGATGTGAGGCTAATGGCTACCATACCAGATACTATAGATCTGGAGTGAGCAGGTAAAGGGGAACTAGTTTTCATGGAGCACTTTCTATGTGCAAGGCATTATAGTAGTTATTAGTATAGATTATGGTTAGCTTTCATAACCACCCTGGGAGGTGCCTATTATTTTCATTTTACAGATGAATGGATGTAGCCGCAAAATTTATTATCCAAACTGGGGCCTTTTCAGAATGATAAGGCAACTTTTATTAATTACCAAGGCACAACTGGTATAGCTTGTACTGTACTAGGAAAAGTGGAATGAATGGTCACCCTAGATGGGAAAACAGGCTAGAATAAATTAACTAACTTGCTCAAGATCCTAAAGTTCATAAATGACAGCATGATTTAAGATTTAAAGCCATATCTGTTTGTGTCAAAAGCTCGTGCTGAGAATGAGACTCCAGTATTTTTTCTAGATTTCTCCCTTGATGATTTGGTTAGCCATTCTAAGTTGGAAGTATTGGTCTCAAAATCTGTTGACAGCATGGTTTTCCATTGCAAAAAACAAACAAAACAAATAAACAAAAAACAACTTAAAGTCTACCTCTGTTCTTAGAAAGGCCCTTCCAAGGAAACAGAACTTACACAGAGGTTGACTACACACCTGTCATTTTTAGCAGAGCTCAGACCCCTTAGCTATGTTATTTGGTGGCAGGTGGGGGTATGGTGAAGATTGCAGGCAATTTTCTCTCAATGTTCTTGTTCACCCCATTGCTTTCCCTGTTGGAAAACATATCACTGAAATCTGTTTACAGACATGTAAAAGGGCCAGAAATGAATATAGGAAACAAAAACATCATTCCCTATTCTGGGAAAACTGTTTCTCTGTTCACAACACTTCTGACACCAAATGTGTGTGTGTGTGTGTGTGTGTGTTTTCCAAACCAAGCAATTCAAGTCTCTGGACACCAACCAGGTGTCCTACAACTCAATTCAATACTAACACTCATTATGTAGAGTTAGCACAGACCTCACAGGTTAAGGCTCAGCCCCAAAAGACTGCCCTTCACTTTAGATGCCAATTGCAAGTCCGGATCACTTGTACTTCTGACCAATCTTGAGGTCTTAATCAGGGATTCTCATAACCCTTTCCTTGGTTTGCTAATTTGCTAGAATGGCACACAAAACTCAGGAAAACATTTACTTATATTTACCAGCTCATTGTAAAGATATTATAAAGGAAATGGATGAACCAAATGAAAAGGTACATAGGCTGAGGTACAGAAGAATGGTGAGTACGGGAGCCATTGTCCCTGTGATGTCGGAATTGAGAGTGGCTTCTTGTGAGTAACAAAGACACTCCTATCACTCAGGAAATTCTAAAGATTTTAAGAGCTTTGCACCAGAAACTGGAGACAAAGACCAAATATATTTCTTATTAGAAATATTATAATTATATATCTACTTTCTCCAGCTCCCTTTAGATCCCCAGAATAAGACTTTC